CTATAGAATTGAATGAAAAATGAATGGAAGTCAATGCAAAGGCCCCACAAAGATAGGAAAACAAACCTGTGTGTGTGTGTGTGTGTGTGTGTGTGTGTGTGTGTGTGTGTGTGTGTGTGTGTGTGTGTGTCAGTTCTTTTAGACAGACTGCTGGTTGCAGTCGGATAAAAGCCCTGGTCATAACGTGTGTTAACAACAAAACAAAATAAAGAAAAGAAGAGAAAAAACGTTATAAAATCAGGAACACAAATAGTGAACAGTTATCAGTTAAATCGTAATGGTTATTAAACTTACAGAAAAAAAGGCAAAAGTATTTTTAGTGCTTTTCCTATGTTTCAGTGGGCACTACAATGCACGATCTTTTGTCTGACACTCTAAGCCGCAGCCTTTGTTTTTTGTTTTAGTTTTCCGTTCTGCTTTTAGCTCTATTCTCTGCAAAAAAAGAAAAAAATAGAAAATTGTAATGGAGGTTTTAAAGCAAACTTGTTTTGGGTCCCGTGAACTAAACACTGCCAGCTTTTCAAGGACTCGCCACAGAAATCAGCTTTTCCTCCCAAACATACATGCACAGACAGACAGAAGTTTGCACGTGTCTATTTTTAGAATAATGCCTGCTTGAATAATGCCTGCTTATGAGTCTCACTCCTTTGTTTTGTAGAGATCTTGATAGGAGCCTCACCTTATTTTCTTTTCTTAAAAAAGGGTCTCGGCTGTGCGTCTCACTCTTTCTTGTCAATTTAAGGTCTTGATTCAGAAAAGGTCTCACTTTTTGCTTGTAAACTGTAAAATCTCACTTATTAATAAGGTCTTGATTTACATTATACTTATTTGGAATGTAAGTTTCTCAACCCTAGAATCTTCACTTATTCAGAAGAGGTCTTGACTCTTTTTTACTTATAGTGCAAGAAATAGTCTCCACTGTTTAAAACCAAAATGTTATGACAAAGTACTCACGTCGCTGTTGTGTGAAGGAAATCTGGTTTTCCGTCAATCTGCTGTTGGTGAGCTCGTGACGGACGTAAGACCTCGCTGGCCTGGCTGGGAATAAGGACCCACCAGGGCTTTAGTTTCACCGTGCGCACGGGTTTCTCAGCGTGTCCGATTGAATTACACCAGCAAGACAGGTATGTTGGAATCCGTGGTCATGGCTCCAAAAAATGTTAGGTAATTTCTGTTTGACCTATAAAGAAAATAATTTCACACAACACGGCGAGATGAGTTTTTAGCGCTCAATACCTTTGCAAAGAGGGAGTTACCTGTTTTGTGGGTCAGTGTGAACTCCGCCGTTTTGCTGGGTGAGTCTGGTATTTATTAGATAAAAGTGGAGCACGAAAACAGGTCAAGTTTACATGAACAAAATCTTGTCAGGATGACGATCAGAACATTTCAGAGCTTGTACAGATAGTTTCTTGATAAAACGTCCACTTGATGTAAAAACAGAACTTTCCAGAACTTTTCACACACCCACAACAATATACAAGATTAAATCATAAGAAATAAACTTTTTGTTCAGTACATATGAAACCAGATATTAATGTAATGAGATGGAAACCATTTTAAAATGATAAAATAGAAAAACTCTTAACGGCCGGCTGTGGCTGAGTGGTTAGAGCAGTCGTCCTCCAATGCAAGAGTTGGGGGTTCGAATCCACCAGCAGTCACATGCCGAAGTGTCCCTGGGCAAGACACTGAACCCCTCGTTGCCTCCGATGTGTGTCCCATTGGTGTATGAATGTGATAAAGCTCTGATTAGTCTCTTTAGAATGATTTGTTCAATTAGCTTTGTAGAGATCTAGTAGAGTGCTGTATATATGGGTAAATGAGGACACAGATTGTAGTGTAAAGCGCTTTGAGTATCTCGATAAGATAGAAAGGCGCTATATAAGTATAGTCCATTTCAGTTTTTTTAACAAAAAAACGAAGTCCAGATGACATGATTCAACCTTTTTTGTTGTTATATACCTGGATGACTGAGAAAACAAACTTTGTGTTTTTGAAACCATTAGTGAAAAGGCCAGACTTCAGGGGTATCTGAGGCAGGCTTGAAACACAAGAGTAAGGGTGGCTTCTGGGTAATACCAGATGGCTAGGCCTCAGACTGACGAAGCCTCTTGGATGAGGGGCGAAACGTTTCTTTTTTAACAAAAAAACGAAGTCCAGATGACATGATTCAACCTTTTTGTTGGTCTTAAGTAATGTTCTAATTTTCTGAGATACTGAACTTGGGGTTTTCATTAGTTGTCAGTTATAATCATCAACATTAAAATAAATAAACATTTGAAACATATCAGTCTGTGTGTAATGAATGAATATAATATACAAGTTTCACTTTTTGAATAGAATTACTGAAATAAACCAACTTTTTCATGATATTCTAATTTTATGACCAGCACCTGTATATCTGGCATTCATGAAGTGCGATGCTGGTACACCCTGAACTGCTCACCAGTCACGGGTCTAACAGTGTTTTTCTTTTTCTTTTTCTGTAGTACTCACAGCTGCTGTCACACAAGCTTCTTTACAGTCTATGCTCCACAAGATTCTCACAGCAGGACCATCAGCTTTCAACATCACTACCATCCTCTCTCAAGCAGCACAGCTTTCCAGCCAAGGTAAATCAAGAAAAGAGGATGGAAAGTTCAATGCATTTGCATTTTGAATATTGCCGGATACAGAGTTTCCTACATTCTTTTTATTTTTTGCCAACAGCTCAACAATCAAACCAGTCACCAATGTCTTTAACATCAGACGCATCGTCTCCAAGGTCCTACGTCTCTCCAAGGATTGGCACACCGCAGACCAATGTTGGTCCTCTAAAGCCCCTGCTCAGCTTGCAACCAGTCATGTCTCAGTCAAAAGTAAGATACAAAAATTCAGCAAACATGCATTGTCTTGAAACCTCCTTTTTCTATATTTGGACCTTTTCTCAGTTGAGGTTGTTCAGGCATCTGGTAAGGATGCTTCCTGGGTGCCTCCCTAGAGAGGTGGTTCAGGCATGTTGACTGGGATGAGACCCCAGGGAAGACCCAGGACATGCTGGAGAGACTACGTCTCTCGTTTGGCCTTGGGAACGTCGTGGAGTCCTCCCAGAAGAGCTGGAAGAAGCCCAAGCTACTGCCCCGAGACCCGGCTTCAGAGCAAGTGGATGGATCGATCAATCTTTTCTCTTAAAAAAAAATTTTTCCTCCTGGTGTAAATCAACTTGAAAAATCATTGGCACCAGTAAGAAATAACATAGCACTCTAACTGTAGCTAAATTTAATAAACAACAAACGTCATTAAAGGGCTGCTTTGAAAAATGGAAAAGGTGACTGGCTATCTAATGAAACTGAATCCTTCAAAACTGTTAGGCCACCTTGAGACTAACTAGCCTTCATTAAAAGACAAGCCTTTGGGATTTTTTGAAAGGGAAAAAAAACTTGGACACAAAGTTCAGAAACAATTATTAAAGGCCACCGCTTCTTACATGAGTCTGCGTTAATAACATCGTAGTTAGTGGCTAACCACATTTGTAAGGTTGGAGTTGTATTATATTAAACAATAAATTAAAACAAATGACTAAATATTAAAATAAATTAAATTACTATACAGTAGCAGCAGTCCCTCGCTACTTCGTGTTTCGCGGATTCGCTATATTGCGGTTTTTCAAAGTAAGATTGGACATGACACAGTTGGCTGATCAATGGATGAGCCATGGATTGTTGATTTAAAATAAATTATTTTAAATTATTTTTGCACCAGTGTGCAGCCCACAAGTGCAGGGGGAACGCTCCCTCCTGCAGCCTGTCATGATCTCCACTCTCTGCCACGCACCCATTTCTCCTGCTGCATCGGCTTTGTGAATGGTTAACCCTTTGCTATCCAGATGCACCGATCGACTTTGGTCTTCCAACTTAAAATTCAAAGTTTGTCACATCATAAATCCTGATGCATGCTCATGATCGTAAAATTGTCATAATCACAAAATATAAAAGTTTTTTCTGACGATGAATCGAGTAATCAACACCGTGCAGGACGATTGGCGTTTGCTATGGAACACCAAAATTGGCAGATTCGCCATTGACGCCCTGTGCTCTTCACAGATGAAAGCAGGTTCACACTGAGCACGTGACAAACGTGACAGAGTCTGGAGACACCGTGGACAATGTTATGCTGCCTGCAACATCCTCCAGCATGACTGGTTTGGTGGTGGGTCAGTCATGGTGTGGCAGCACAGCCCTCCATGTGCTAGCCAGAGGTGCCCAGACTGCTATAAGGTACTGGGATGAGATCCTCAGACCCATTGTGAGACCATATGCTGGTGCAGTGAGCTCTGGGTCCCTTCTTATTCGTGACAATGCTAGGTCTCATGTGGCTGAAGTGTGTCAGCAGTTCCTGCATGATGAGGCCATTGGTGTTATGGACTGGCCTGCCCGTTCCCCAGACCTGAATCCAATTGAGCTCATCTGGGACATGTTTCGGTCAATCCACCAAGGCCACATCGCACCACAGACTGTTCAGGAGCTAAATGATGATCTAATCCAGGTCTGGGAAGAGATCCCTCAGGAAAACATTTGCCGTATCATCAGGAGCATGCCCAGGCGTTGTTGGGAGGTTATACAGGCACGTGGAGGCCACACACACTACTGAACCTCATTTAGACTTGTCTTGAAGAATATTCACGGACATTGAATCAGCCTGTCATGTTATTTTCGACTTTCATATTGAGTATGAATTCAAATCCAGATCTCCATGGTGTAATAATTTTGATTTACATTGATATTTTTTGTTTTCTTCTCAATCAATTCCACTGTGATATTGTCAATGAGAATATTTAATTAATTGATGTTATTTTGTTGTTCTCTTTAATTTTGTGAGCAGTGTGTATATATATTATTTATTTATTTATTTTTATTATTTATGAAACTTTTATTTAACCAGATAAAAACCCATTGAGATCAAGACCTCTTTCACAAGGGTGACCTGGCCAAGAACAGGCAACAGCAGCACACGTCATTAAAAACAAAACAAGTAGCAAGATTATGAAGACTTCAGAAATATATAAAAATATAAAACATACAGTATAACAGTAAATGGCAATAATTATTTAAAACAATAACAATTTAAGATCTAAAACACAGGCATTGTTGACAAGATATCCTTTGTCGGTTTTTTAAGTTTGCAAAAAGCACTCCAAGTAACAAGTTCTGTCAATTTTAATTCAGCTTGCAAGGCATTCCAAGCTGAAGGGGCAGAAAAGCTAAAAGCTTTCTTGCCCTTTACTTTTCGCACACGAGGAACATGAAGATGCAAACAGTCCTTAGAGCGTAAGGCATAACTACTGTCCATTCTTCCTATAAAAGTACATAAATAATGTGGAAGCATGCCAATAAGAGACTTAAAAAACCAAAGTCATCCAGTGCACATGTCACCTGTTAAACAGGGAAGACATATTGGTTTTAAGATAGAGATCACAGTGATGAGTAAGGTAGCTACAACCAGTAATAAATCTTAATGCACAATGGTACACTGGATTCAATGACTGTAGACAACTGTTTGAAGCACACATATAAACAACATCGCCATAGTCAAGTACTGGCAAAAAAGTAGCCGTGATCAAAAGCTTCCTTGCTCTAATGGAGAAACATGATTTGTTTCTAAAGAAGAACTCGAGCTTCATCCTTAATTTGGAGATTAGGTGTTTCACATGAGATTTAAAAGAAAGCTCCTCGTCGATAATTAAGCCCAGGTATTTATAACAGGAGACCCTCTCGAGAACTTTACCTTGGGAAGTTTTTATTAGAGGGATATATTCTCCAATGGGACAGATACATTTGAAAAAAACATTATTTTAGATTTATCAGCATTTAAGACCAATTTTAGTTGCTCAAGATGAATCTGCACCTCATCAAAAGCAGCCTGTAAGAATTTAAGTGCCTGTTGAATTAAATTTGAACAACAGTAAATTACACAATAATCAGCATAAAAGTGGTAGGAGGCATTTTGCAAATTTTCACACAGTACAGTAATGTAAATTGTAAATAAGATGCGCCCCAAGACAGAGCCCTGGGGTATGCCCTTTTTTACTTTAAGAAAACTTGAGCTTACCCCAGCCATCTGTACACACTGTGTCCTATTTGCCAAATAATCTCCAAACCAGTAAGATGCTTCTTTGGAGATGCCCAGTTTGAGAAGAATTTTTACCAGGATAGTGTGATCCACTGTACCAAATACCTTGGATAAATCAATAAACAGAGCACGGCAAACCATTTTGGATATATGTATGTATATATATGTGTGTATATATATACTGTGTGTGTGTGTATATGTGTGTGTGTGTGCGTGTGTGTATATGTGTGTGTATATATATATATATGTGTGTGTGTGTGTGTTTGTGTGTGTGTGTGTATATATGTGTGTGTGTGTGTTTGTGTGTGTGTGTATATATATATATATATATATATATATGTGTGTGTGTGTATATATATATATATATATATACAGTGAGGAAAATAAGTATTTGAACACCCTGCGACTTTGCAAGTTCTCCCACTTAGAAATCATGGAGGGGTCTGAATTTTTTTATCTTAGGTGCATGTCCACTGTGAGAGACATAATCTAAAAGAAAAATCCGGAAATCACAATGTATGATTTTTTTAATAATTCATTTGTGTGTTACTGCTGCAAATAAGTATTTGAACACCTGCCAAGCAGCAACAGTTCTGGCCCTCAAGACCTGTTAGTCCTCCTCTATAACGTCCACCTCCACTCCACTTATTATTCTAAATTAGAAGCACCTGTTTGAGGTCGGTAGCTGCATAAAGACACCTGTCCACCCCACACAATCAGTAAGACTCCAACTACTAACATGGCTAAGACCAAAGAGCTGTCCAAAGACACCAGAGACAAAATTGTTGACCTCCACAAGGCTGGAAAGGGCTACAGGGCAATTGCCAAGCAGCTTGGTGAAAAATTATCAACTGTTGGAGCAATTATTAGAAAATGGAAGACGCTAAACATGACTGTCGGTCTCCATTGGACTACGGCTCCATGTAAGATCTCACTTTGTGGCGTATCAATGATCCTAAGAAAGGTGAGGAATCAGCCCAGAACTACACAGGAGGAGCTGGTCAATGACCTGAAGAGAGCTGGCACCACTGTTTCCAAGGTTACTGTGGGTAATAAACTAAGACGTCATAGTTTAAAATCACGCATGGCACGGAAGGTTCCCCTGCTTAAGTCAGCACACGTCCAGGCCTGTCTTAAGTTTGACCATGACCATTTGGATGATCCAGAGGAGTCATGGGAGAAAGTTATGTGGTCAGATGAGACCAAAATAGAATTTTTTGGTCTTAATTCCACTTGCCGTGTTTGGAGGACGAAGAATGATGAGTACCATCCCAAAAACACCATCCCTACTGTGAAGCATGGGGGTGGAAGCATCTTGCTTTGGGGGTGTTTTTCTGTACATGGGACAGGATGACTGCACTGTATTAAGGAGAGGATGACTGGCGCCATGTTTTGTGAGATCTTGGGGAACAACCTCCTTCCCTCAGTTAGAGCATTGAAGATGGGTCGTGGCTGGGTCTTCCAACAAGACAATGACCTGAAGCACACAGCCAGGAGAACCAAGGAGTGCCTCCGTAAGAAGCATATCAAGGTTCTGGAGTGGCCTAGCCAGTCTCCAGACCTAAACCCTATAGAAAATCTTTGGAGGGAGCTCAAACTCCGTGTTTCTCAGTGACAGCCCAGAAACCTGGCTGATCTAGAGAACATCTGTGTGGAGGAATGGACCAAACTCTCTGCTGCAGTGTGTGCACACCTGGTGACAAACTACAGGAAACATTTGACCTCTGTAACTGCAAACAAAGACTACTGTAACAAATATTAACATTGATGTTAACAGGTGTTCAAATACTTATTTGCAGCAGTAACACACAAATAAATTATTTTAAAAATCATACATTGAGATTTCTGGATTTTTATTTTAGATTATGTCTCTCACAGTGGGCATGCACCTAAGATGAAAATTTCAGACCCCTCCATGATTTCTAAGTGGGAGAACTTGCAAAGTCGCAGGGTGTTCAAATACTTATTTTCCTCACTGTATGTATGTATATGTATATATATAAATATGTGTATGTATGTGTGTATATCTGTGTGTATGTTTGTGTATGTGTGTATATGTATATACATGTGTGTATGTTTGTGTATGTGTGTATATGTATATACAT